GTATAGAGAGATATAATAGATATGTCGTTCGGAGAAGCGGCCCTGAGGTACTGTTCTTTCGGACTCTGAAGAATGTGTCTGTGCACGTGTGTATGTAAACTTCTTGAGAGCATGCGCACACTAGCCCTTCTCTGATTGTATCTGACCGCAATCACAGCCAGACCTGGACGAATCTGAGTGTAATCACGTCCAGAGCTTAGTAGAAAAAGTCGAGTGTGAGTATGCTCTAACAGTGTCCTTCGCGACAGCCATTAACATCAGAACGATATGCCAGCATCAGGTGGCCTGTCTGTAGGCGGAAAAAGGCGTGCCCCGCTTACGCTACGAATGCACAATTTCTGTGATTTCTGTGAATTCTGTCACAACATATGTATTGGGGACGCTGGGCCGGTTTCCCAGCAGGCGCTGCTCCCCGCCAATAGATGGAGCCTCCCCCGCCGGACCAGCTTGACGTTTCTGCTCCTACCAGCACCTCAAGCTGCCTCCGAAGGCTGTTTGAAAACGATACTGCACCCAACAAAAAGAAGAAGAAGAAGAAAAAATCACAAAAGAAAACTGTTTATTTCGGGATAATCGGTAGAAGGCGCGTGTCTGATTTTTCGATTGGTGGGAAGTAGGAAATTTTTAGTTTGGATGTGTGGGTCCCTTTGGGTCCTGTAAAAAGCGAACACTGGGTAATGCTCCCAGAGGAATGAGTATGTTACCACCGCCCCGTTCATGAATCTGGCGCAAAAACAGCACCGATTTCTTGAACCGGTAAGAACAGGCCCAGGGAGATGTGGCCACGTGCGAAGGCGCCTTTCAAAGTTGTGTGGGCCGGTAGTACCAAACGGCCGAACTTTGGGCGGCCAAAACCGAAAACGTTTTGGCGTGGGCTCTTTCTACCAATTATCCCGTTTATTTCCCTAATTGTAAATATATATATCGTCAACTTCTCCATGGAAAAGGAGGAGGAGGAGGGGCCGGGGGGAGGAAACACAAAAATGTGCAGTAGAAAAGATTGGATGACGATTAAAAAAAAAAAGAAAAGAAAGAAGAAGAAAAAGGTAGATAAAAAAAAAGAAAAAGGTAGATGACGATTAAAACGGGCCCTCTCGAGCGTATAGCGGGCGGTGAATCATTACTTTTGGTGCGTGAATCGTCACCATGGGCCCGGTGGAGCCATGACGGCGTTGGTAAGGGAAGTAAAGTCGTGAGCACTAATGGTGCGTGAATCGTCACCNTGGTGCGTGAATCGTCACCATGGGCCCGGTGGAGCCATGACGGCGTTGGTAAGGGAAGTAAAGTCGTGAGCACTAATGGTGCGTGAATCGTCACCATGGGCCCGGTGGAGCCATGACGGCGTTGGTAAGGGAAGTAAAGTCGTGAGCACTCATCTTTGTATGAAGTTGTATCGCTTGGTTTTTCCTTTGTCGTTTCCTTTTTTTTTTTTTTTTTTAATTAGGACCATATCAGTTTTGTAAGTCGATGACCGTGGCCCTATGCATGTGTCGTTTTTTTTTTTTGTTTTTTTTTTTCCCTCTTTCATTTTGTTAATTATGGGATTCATTGCGTGTCATCCTCTGGCTGGGGCCATGCTAATCTTCCAAGTATAGTCCGTCTCAGTATGGTCTTTGCATTGCGCAAGTCGGCGACGAGGCGCTCTCCGTCCTTCTGCTGTTCTTTTTTTTTTTTTTTTTACCATGTCCTTTTTACCATGTTGGAGACGAAGCCAAGGGGAAGGCCACCTTCTTCCCCCGAATACAACGTGGGGTCATCATAGCTGTATTTAGACTAAAAGATAACTTGAATACAGCTATGCATAGCTGTATTTAGACTGAAAGATAACCCGAATACAGCTATAATGACGGTACGTTGTATTCGGGAGAAGAAGGTATGGGTGGTATGGGTATGGGACGACAAGACAGACACACTAGTACCGAGGCTCGCCTCTGTCATCACGGTTTTTTTTTTTTCGTTT